TACTAAAGATAAAATGTGTTGCTGAATATCCGAATATCTTCTATATCCTGGGATATAGACGGACATTTGGTTGGATATCCATATTGGATATATTGAATATCCACAAAATATATTCTGTGGATATCTCTGGGATTTCTTGTATTTTCTGGAAGATACCCATTAGATATTTTGCTGGATATCCATTAGGATATCTTCTATATTCTGGATATAGACGGACATTTGGATATCCATATTAGATCCACGGAATATTTCTGATATACTGTGGATATATTGGATATCCACAAAAGATATTCTGTGGATATCTCTGGGATTTGGTGTGTTGTCTGGGAAGGACTTGATGATTTTTATAAAATTGTCCCTGGGTCCACCTTGGCTCTCTGCGGCCCTGACAATAATGTATTTTTAACCAAACACTGATAAAATTTATTTTACAGAAAGGAGCCGACCCACAAAAAATCTAAGTGAAGTATATTCTTTAAATTTTAAGGCTAGCGCCACATTAGGCAGACGTTCGGCCGCCCATCTTCAGCAGCAGAACGTCTGCTGCAGGTAAATCCTATAATCTCTTACGAGCAATTCGTTAACTGGCTACATTGAGCTGAAGATCAGTTAAAACGCCTATCATTTGAATTTACTACGCAAAGATCTGCGGCTCATTTTCGGCGGATGAAATTCTGCCTAATGTAGCGCTAGCCTAAGAATTCATGTAGTATATACATCACATACTTTGATTAATATACGAGGCAAGAGAGAGGTCCGACACGCCCAACATAGGGCGCGGCCATTTTGAACCCTGTGACACAGTTTACAGCTAAAGAATCAGATCGCTCACTCTGCGTCGGCACTTTTGATCTCAATGTTTCAGTTTATACACTGTGCAACTCGGATAATACAATATATGACAACCGCCTATAATAAAACAGCAGTCTTCTGCGTATCCTGAATTTGTATCCCTGGAGTGGATGTTATTTTGGAACTTTCAACTGGTCCGAGTGAGCTAACTGATTCTTTAGCAATAAACTGTGACTTCAAAAATAATATTCACTGACACTGACAGCAGCAAGCAAAATATCAGGTGCGTTTTAATCATCCGCTTCTGCTTCCGGAACTGTCAGATTAAAACAAGAAAACCGACAATTCCGAAGCAGAAGCGGATGATTAAAACGCACCTATTAAAAATATTGCGCCAAGATGTAGGCAACACGTAATAAGGGTTCAAAATGGCGGAGTTTTCTATCTCGTTTTAAAAGGCACTCAGAAAGCTGCGCAGTGCGACCATTCTCCGTATAGTAAAAGAAAATCAAAGTATGTGCCTTGGCCATTAACGTGGAACCTCTATGTGCTTTGTGGTGGCAACATATATATCGTTCCTAGGGCCGATAAAACTCTTGCTAGAGATACACTTTTTAGAAGATATTTCCAAATATTATGAGACTCTTTTTACTGATGGTACTGTTTGTAAAATAAATAGAGGAAAGCAGAACTTAAAGGATGAGGCAATATCATGTACATTTCCAAATCTCCCTTTATGCTTGTATTATAACAATAAAAAATCTGTTAACTGTGTTTTATTTTGCTTTTAAAACTATATTTAATATAATTAAAAAAAATTTAGACAAAATTGTATTTACCAAATTTCACCATTTAACAAATCTTTTCGAATTTGGCCCTATCTACTTAATATGCATTTTATATAGATAAAATTAAATAATTTATCAATAAAAATATGCGAGACTTATTAAGAAATAAATACGACAGTATATTCTGTGTTTTATTTGACAATACACAAGTTTATTTTTATTATTTTGACATTATGTAAAATTTCCATAAGAACCGCGCCTAGCACCAGCGCCCTTGCGGTGAATTAAAAAACTCAATTAGCGTTTAGTTTTTTGGGACCGTATTTCGAGTATGTCGATTCGCCTTCTTATCTCTTGTCTTCATACTTATGTCGTTGAGAGGCATTTTTACTAGCTTTCCAAAGATGTATGAAAAGTAAGGGTTGCTATATTTTCTTTGTCATATACTACCCTGCTCAATCATCTGAAAAATATGTACTCTTGAGATAAAGACAATTTAGTTTATTTTAAATGGACATGGATATTATTGCACATCAAAATTTGACTACAGAGTGCAAACATATATCCAAATGAAAAACTTTGCATTATTATTCAGATGTGGCGTAATTAAATTAGCTTATTAGTATTTATCTCAAAAGAATATATTTTTCAGATAGGGCGTTTCAGCTTAGCACGGCAGTATAGTACTACCTATATTGGAAAAAGGCCAGATATTAAACGTCAGACAAGCTAAATATACATGCTGGTATACGATTTATATCCATTTTTTCTGTAAAAATAAAGATTTATTCTAAACAAACTAGAATAAAAAAATGCGTTTAATTTTGTTATTTTGAAAATTAAATGAAATATTAATATCCTTCTTTTTTTTTAACATTTTATAGTAGATATGCCCATGGGCGTCGTTACACAATTCTATAGGGGGGGCAAAATTTTGAAAAAAATTAGTATGTTTATCTATTGGAAAACAAAGAAAATGAAACATAAAAGAGAATTTTCTTATGATGGATTTAATTATTCTGTGACGTCATGGCTTACTTCCAGTTTTTCCAGAAATAACAGAAAATCACAATTTATTTTTTATTATTAAATGAAAACCCTTTTTCCTATTGAAAATTTGAATTTCTGGGACATTTTTGTATAAGAAGCGTGTATTGAAAATTTTCTCAGTAACATATTAAAAAAAATATGTTCCAATATGATGATCATTTTGACAGCTGACAAAAAATTTTCAACACATGATTCTTATCCATAAATGTCCCTAAAATTCAAATGTTCAATAAAAACGGGGGTTTCTATTTAAAAATTAAAAATAAATTAAGATTTTGTTATTTCCGATAAAACAGAAGTAAGCCATGAAGTCACACACCAATTGAATCCAGTATATGAGAGTATTTGTCCCAAGCTTTTAAACAAATAAGTTTTCATTCCAATATCTCAATTAACAACGAAGATAAAAGCGGATAGAATTATTAAACGGTTTGCTAATAATAAAAATGCTTAGATACGCCACTGGTATACGGTAAATGGGTCTCAATGGGAATTTTGAAGCCTTAAAAGATTTTATGAAGTTTGTACATTCCTATATGTTCTTCCATAAACGAATTAATAGTAACATATTTAGAAAAAATATTGTCAATACACGATTATTATACAAAAATGTCCCAGAAATTTAAATTTACAATAAAAAGAGGGTTTCCTTTTAAAAATAAAAAAATCTGTTATTTTCGGAAAAATCGGAAGTAAGCCATGACGTCACAGAACAATTGAATCCATCATAAGAAAGTCTTTCAAACAAGACAAAATTAATCCGATATCTCACTGAATAGCGAAGCTAAGGGGGAGTGGAACTGTGTTAGTAACCCTAACAATGTCACTGACCTATTTGACAGAACTGATACTTAAGTTGTCATAACAAGTCTCTAATAAATAAAATAACCCAACAAAAAAAGACAAAATAAAAGTATATAGATTTATAAAACAAGTGAAAAAATTATTAATATTATTATTATAATATATTTTTATTACTTCAGCTAAAAAAAGTAGTTTAATCAATACAAATCAATAATAAAACATAGGTAGGTATTTACGAGAAAATGTATAAGATCTTGCCTAAGCCTAATAAGTTGTCATTGAAGAATAGGTTAAATAATGTCAAAATAAAAACACTACTATTATATAATAACGTAGAATTAAAACGTATTAACAAAAATAATTAGTATATTTGCGATTGTAATTTATATTTTTTTCATTTTTAGTTCGAAAGAACCCATAGAAATTAATGATTAAAACTGGTTTCCTATCAATAAGTCACAAGATTGCATTTCAGCCATATACAATAATTAAAGGCAGAAATCTAATTATTTGCTAAACATTTAAGACTTAAGGGATGTTGAAGAATATCATAAAATAATAATTTATTGATTATTATGATGAAAGGTTTTTTCTTCTATTTATTTTTTTAAATTATTTTCTATTTTGCTACTGAAAATTTATATAATACTCAGTTTTTTGCTAGTATAATTTGTAACATAGCAATTTCGGTTGCTCATTTTATTATTTTTAACCTATTTTTTAGTAAAAATTAAAATGTATACGTGTATTTGATACGCCAAAATTACAAAATATCGCCCTAAAGTACTCGAATTATCCACAGCTTGCGCTAGTATCGCTTTTGCTTTTCCTACCGTGACTTCGCACTGTTCGAATAGATTGCAGCCATGTTTTAACATGCCATAGCTAAACGTTCTTTCGATTAACTCTGTCGTTGGTGAAAGAGCCATAAATATTTTTTAAACCACTTTGTATGTCTGGATAAAATTCACAATATTTGGATGCTATATCATTAATGGAGAGCTCATTGTGTGTAGAAAGCTCTTTCGTACTCCAGTTTGGTATTCAGCTTCAAAATTGTCGATTCCAAATTTTTCCACTACTTTCATTTTCTAATTGGTAGTGAAAAAAGTATTGTTTTTATGCTTTTGGGATGTAACAGGCTTAAGGACAAACTAAGTCTTCGGAAAAGCGTGATGTAAGCGACGTAATAAGGGAATCCAGATATGCAATAAATATATTCAACCTATAATATTCTTCAACTATATTAGCCTGAATATTATTATTTCTATATGAGATTGTTGTTCGTAAGGCATATCTTACGCGTTGTTGATTAAGTCGCTAAAAGCCAGGGGGAGGGCAACTGCCCCCCCTTGCCCCCCCCCCAAACGACGCCCATGGATATGCCTCTAAAATGCATCTCAAAAGTATTTAATCGTTATACTATTTGGACTTAAAATAATAAATTTCAAGGTTACTAGTTCCAATAAATACATAAAGAATCCCAACTGGCAACAATATATTTAAGAAAAAACTATAACAACAGCCCAACACATTATACTGTTTTTATTAATTTTTTGTACGCATTGTTACCCACATCTCGTGCTCCAATGCAAGCGCTTCGGTCCCCTTCTTAAAATCGAACCAACCAGTAAGATTTCGCCGATCCCTTCTCGTACGAAGAAATTTCGATTCAAACATCAGATTTTTGTGCCTTTGGTATCCTCGATTTCTCGTTAATTTGTTGTTGTGTGATGTGTTGTGAGGATTTTTATTTGTAAAGTGAATTAAATTACAAAATTTTACCTATTGACTATTAAAACAGTGCTTATAAATATAATTTTTGATAATGCCGGCTTTACAGAATAAGGTAAGTTAAATTAAATCAATTTTTATTTCAATAACTGACAGCCGGTGTTTTAACGCTATATACAGATTGTCTTGATGGACATGTTTTTATCAATATTTCTAACAATATTTTTTTTAACAAAATTGAGGGCTTAATAATAAAGTGGCTAAAGGGTAAAAATATGTTGAATAAAATTTGAAAATGCGTGAAAATCTAATATCTCTTTATTATTTTTATCAGGTTTTCTAGTTATTTTTTATCGAATTTCAAATATTTTGCCCTTAACACTTGAAACAATTAATTCGATGATTTTTTATTGATTCTTGTCCTTATTCACATAATTGTTCTAGTTTTGCGATAAAATAGGGGCTTTAATACTTAAACACGTTTCCTAGTATTTTTTAAACAGTATTACGTGTTTTAAATAATCAACACATTTTAGTTATTTTTTTTGTCTCGATTTTTCACTTTTTTTACCTTTTTTCGGACAAAATAAAAATTTATCCAAAACTATCACTTTTGGGGCCTGTATAATAATAACAAATAGTAAATTAATATACTGGAAGTTCAATTTGAAAAAACGAAGTTTTACCTAGATGTGTGCAGAATAGCAGGATGATATAAATTTGCCTGTAGATAAAAATTAACTATTGATCTTCTCAGATCTTTCTATTTACGTCTTTGTGTTTACCCAATATTTTAACTAACATGTCAATAACATAGTTATTTTAATAATATTTGTCATGAACAATTTTTTTATAATTTCTCACATTTTTTTGACATAATTTGACAACTGCGCAGCATTTAAAAAATAATTTTTCCTACGACCACTTAGGAAAGTGACACATATCACACTATAGTCCTATGGAAAGTGCCCTATATCACACGCGTATGAATAAGAAATAAGAATTTATTTTCCACCTGAGTGAGAATATGTTACTTTCCGCAACAGCTGTCATAAAATGTCAAACCCATAATTTCTATTTTGATCGATGTAATGTCCATATTAATACTAAAATCGATATGATTGTTAAATTATTGAAATTGTTGTAAATTAGATCTTAGATATTTATCTTTAACAATTATTTTTAAAATAATTTTAAAATAACTAAGATTGTTTGCTTTTTATTCTGGTTAAACATATAACCGATTAGATCTTTCAATTGATGAAAGGCCGTTAGCTCAGTTGGTTAGAGCATCAAACTATCAAATTTGCCATTTGAGAGACCTTGCGAACGACCGCGTTCGAATCCTGGCGGGTCCAGAACTTTTTTTTGTTTTTTTTTTATTTTTTTTTGTTTTTTAATTTTTTTTTTTGTTTAAAATATATGAAAATTGAATAAATACGATTGTTGTTGATTATTTTTTTAAATACATTTTAATTATTATAATAACCTGGTTTTACATTTTTTTATGAAAATATTTTGTGGTCGTAGGAAAAATATTGTACATCACTTGTGTGAAAAGTGATTTTCCACACTCGTGTGATAGTCGCACTCGGCTTGTGCCTCCTGTGACAATATTTCCCACTCGTGTGAAAAATGTCACTTTCCACACTCGTAATGTAATATACTATATTATTGAACATGTTACGCTGAAAACAGTGGTGAAAAACATATAGGTACAGCCATATAACAACATCGACATGTAAGCTGTTTCGATGTCAACCAAATTATGACCAAAAGTATTAATAATACATTTTACATTATTATTTTCGGCAAACAATTTCTTATAAATTTACCTATTCAAGGACAGCAAGAGGTTAGCCAATTATATATACAGTGAGCATCATAAGTCTTACCCCCCTAACTAACTCGTTACTGGAGTCTTGTTAGGAAAATCGCCGAGACAGGTCGATTTTTGTTTTCTACAATATACATTTTTATATGATTAGTTTACCCTTAATTTCATCCCTTACTGAAGGGGAACAACCCTTTCGAAAAATTTAAATGGCATAGGGTGGTGAGTGATAGCTCATTTGAAAGGGGGTTTTATTCTCTATTCAACCATGCAAAAAAAAATTAAATTTGCTTTATTACGTGTTGATTTATTAATGTTTAAAAATAAGAAAACCTCACAAAATAGGAAAGCAACTAAACTAATAGTGACCTTCTAATGGCAAAAAGTCTTACTTCACGTCTGAACCAAAACCGAAATCATGCAGGGCCGAATTTTAATTCTAAGGATGAGTGCGCTACGTTAATTTCCGTTATTCTGAAACAACCATTAGTCGAGAATTAATGAAGCAAATTTCAAATTTTTTTACATGGTTGAATAGAGAATAAAACCCTCTTTCAAATGAGCTATCACTTACCACCCCATGTCATTTAAATTTTTCGAAAGGGTTGCTCCCCTCCAGTAAGGGATGAAACTAAGGGTAAACTATTCATACAAAAATGTACATTGTAAAAATCAAAAATCGACGTGTCTCGGCGATTTTCCTAACAAGACTCCAGTAACGAGTTAAATAGGGGGGGTAAGACTTATGGTGCTCACTGTATACAGGGTTTTTAATAAAACAATTATAGGACGATATTTACCAATTATTCTTAAATCTACAGGGTAGTCCATAAATGAGGGGCGAACCGAACTTATACTTTTTTTAGATTAAACAATTTGGATAACAAATTTGGTTGTCATCACAACGTTAAACAATTTTAATAGACTTAAAAGTTCCAAAAATGTTTCATTCATTGTTATTTATGTATACAGGGTGTGCGAGATTACGATATTTGCAATTTTTCTCAAATGCAATAAATACCCTGTATGTTATACCACCAATGTATAAATAAATAAATTTATTTATTTACTTTTTATTTTGTTTTGCATTGCATACCCAAACGCAACTTTTCTTAATATTTTGATGGTTTTATTACATAAATTAACATTTTTCTAACTATAAATGGCTTTAGAAACCTTGGTCAGTTACAAAACTACAAATAGGTAGATCTAACTGTTTTTTATAATTCTTCAAATAAAACAATTTTATGTTCATCATAATTTTTCTGAAAATAAAAATGTTTTGTATTCTTATTATCATCAGTAGCTCTAGGTTACAGAGTCTAAAACATTTAGATAATTACAGATTAAACTTTATGACACGTAAAAACAAAAGAACAAACGCCGAAAATTTTTGTTAACCCATTTTTCAGAAATAATGAATGGTTTTCTGTTCTCCCGACGACGTCACAAAAATGTGTTTTGGTGTAATGAATGCAAAAACTTAAAGAAATTAATTAATTCATGAATAAGTAGTATAATATACAGGATATTTATACGTTACAATGTACCTTTTATGCCAACCAAATTATGACCAAATGTATTAATCATACATTATACATTTTTTATTTTTTGTGCTTTTATAAAACTATCTAGAGGTGTGTTTTTTAACAGTGTTATAATTCGGGACACTCTGTGGTTATATATAATGGGACTTGTTAAAGTTTGAGACATGCTTGTGAGCTACCAAAACCAAACTACCTTGGTAGAACAGAGAAAACAATAAAAACATGTTTTCTGATTTTGGTTTTAGTAAATATAATATTTAGGTATTTTAAAATGTTTTAATGAGTTAATAAGACTTTTTAAATTGATTCATCTTTCATTTGTAATTAATAGTTTATAAAATATTTGCAGTTTAGATTTTAAAAAACAGATTTTGATATGAATTAAATAGCTGTCCCAGTAAGTACCTCTGGGTGGTTCTTATTGGGACAAGCGGTGTCTGGAACACCTGATTTTTTCTTTAAACGTTAAACATTTTTTTGGTAATAACCAAATGGTTGGGGTTCGGTTCTTGGGGCTAAAGCAGTTCGAGTCGAGATATTGATACCAAACTTGGTATATGGCTGTATTATTCAATACGTATGAGGATCGCATAAAAAATGCACCCCCATCCACTAACTGATATGGAGGGGTGTCGCGCTTAAAAATAAAGTTACAATTTTTGCAATAAAACAATTGGAATCTGCGATATCTTTTACATACAAACCCAAAATTTCAATTTTTTTATAACATTTTCCAAAAATTTTCGATCTGAACTGTCATAGTTCAAATTTGGAGGAATGCTGGCATTTAAAAATAGTTACAAAGGAAAAAAGAAACTCATATTGGGCAAATTTAAAATAGACCTGATTTGCACGGGGTGTAAATATAAAAATCTTACCCACACCATCCCATAGAGGAAACACGAGAGGATGGTATCCGCAAAAAATTTAGTTACAACTTTTTATGTGAAATCGTTGAAATTTAGGTTTTTTTACATACATACCTAAAATTTCAAATTTTTTCGAGAAAATATGACGATTCAAGTCAAAAATGTTTTAGTTCAAAGAAAAAAAGTGTCAACAAATTTTAAATTTTGGGTATACTTATATGTAGAAAAATTCGTGCATTTTAACCGTTTCGTTTAAAAAGTTTTAACTAAATTTTGGGTATGCCACCCCCATACATCTTCCCATAGGAGACGGTGGGGATAAGATTTTTTACAGAAACGTTGTAAATAAGGTTCCAAAAATGATATTTTTATCTCTTCTGTAACTATTTTTAAATGCCAGCCACATCCTAACTATGACAGATGCAAACAAATTTTTGGAAAAATATCAAAAAAATTTTGAATTTTTAGTTTGTACGTAGACTGAAACATTTTTGACCTGAATCGTCATAGTTCGGAAGGAAAATTTTTGTCGAAAAAATATGAAATTTTAGTTTTATATGAAGAAGATATCGTAGATTCAAATTGTTTTCTCGAAAAAATTGTAACTTTATTTTTTGAGGGTGGCAACCCCCTCCATAGCAGCTACAGGATGAGGCGATTTTTTTTATGCTATATTTATGGAATAATACAGCCATATACCAAGTTTGGTCTCTGAATACCATGGTCCCCTAATGTATTTTTTGTTTCTGTCAGACTTGCAAATGTTTCATTTATTATGGTTTTAGATCTATTTTATTTTACTATTTAATTTCATTTTTAAAAAACTTGCCAATATATTCCTATTATTTATTTTAAGATTTTTTTC